AAATGCTGGCTGGCCAGAAAGAAATTACAGAATCAGTGCTCCAAACAAGGAGAAAATGTGTCATTTAAAAAAAAGAAAAATATAAGTCACCATGCACCTCTAATTCACTTGGCTCAACATGCCACCTCATCTTTAAAAGTTCCTTCTTTTATCCTTTTCCTAGCCAGAAGGATCCAAATTTCATAATTCACAGCACCAGACTCATCACCTACTTCTGAGCACTGACATGGTAGGAGAGCAAGCGGAAATTTCCGTCAGGAGGAATGAAGGAGAGAATTCTCTCTGACTCCCAGCGCTTAAAACGCACACAGGGGTGAAAGCTGACATCGTCCAATAACCGAGGGTTCTGAAACAAAGTCACAAGGTTTGTGAAGGCAGTACAACTTAAAATGACTTCCTCTTCTTAGCAATCTTCTATCCATGAAGGGCCTACCACTTGACACACTCTTGACCACCTGAAGGTGTCTACATTCAGACATGTCTGATGCTGTTATATCCATGTGAAAGCAGTACTCAATAACCTCTACCCTTTTTCAGGATATTTTTAATTCTATTTCAGAAAACTTAGTCATGTCACATAATTACACTGGTGTGTACTCATAGCAGAGGTGGCCCTTCAGGATATCTGCTTAAAGCACCACTGTATCTCAAAAACTTAGTCACAGGACACATCACATGTGCTTTTAAGCAAATAATCTGAAAAAGCCTTTTTAGGCTCTAAGTTGCTGAAGTTCCTGATGAGTTCCCAGTGTAATTTTTTTCTCTTTTCATCTGGCATACCCAGATTCTGATGTCCTGGGGTCCATCATCACAGGACCCCAATCTTAGCAGCAGGGCTGGGAAACCCCTTTCAAAAGACTTAAGTAAAGATACATCCTTGAGCTTTACCATGAAGGAGAGGGTAAGGTCTGGCATCCCAGTCAGCTTGACACAAGCATCAATCACTCCTTGGATTTCAGCAGTAATAGTGGAACCTGTAACAGTAAGGTAAACACAGGTGGTTTTGTGAACCTAGTCAAAAAATCCCAAAAAAGTGGAAAAACTATGAGTGAAAAGGAAGGAAATCTATTTTCTTAATGAGATGCCATGGTTCATTATGTTGCCTGCACAGCATTTGTATCATTCCCAATGACTCCTCTAGAAGATTCATTCAGTTAAGAACCATGGACACCAACAATGTCCATTTTAATGGCCAATGACAATAGCTCCCAATTCTAACAAGACAAAGAAGCACAAATACTAAAGAGAAAATGCTATGCACAATTTTTATTCATCTTCTATTTTCCCAATATAGAATTGCTTATGGGACCTCAAAAACAAAGTGAAAATCTTGGCGCCTCTAAAATTTTTGACTGAATAGCACACACAAGTCAGCAACACTGCAGAGTAAAAATAGGAACAGAGTATCCCACACTTGATTGAAGGTGCACCTATTTCAAAACCTAACTCTCTCTCCAGGCACTATCAGGACTAGTTATCCTATTTTAACCAGGACCAACTCCCCTACCTGATTTGTCAATGATTGCATCTATCTCCTCAATCACATCAAAATAGGCCTCATTGTTGGTATATTTTACACCAGTACGTCTCCAAGGCACCACTGAGAGCTGTCCAGTGGGAAGCTGGTCACCCACATTAGTGCTTCCTGGAAAAAGAAAGGGAATCAACAGCCACAGAAGTTAGGCAATGCTGCAGAGCAAGGCTTACAGAGCTTAATTGTAATTAATCCCCGAGAACCTCTGTTTCTTTGTAGGAGAGCAATTACTCTTCCAAACTCTCAGTACTCTAAAAATGCACATCTCTCTTACACCCAGCTCTAAAACAAACCACAGTAATGCATTGGACAGTGTCTACACATGGGGATGTGTAAACTCACATCAAACTAACTCATCCTGGAAGTCATGTCATGTCTGTAACTGAAAATGTAATCTGACTTTTTTAGGTTAAAATACCCCCAAATCAGACCAAAACCAAAGTGCAGCTGGTGCTGAAATTGGAAGGAACCTCAAAGCAAAGCACCAACAAATGACTCCCTAAACCCACCTGTGCTGCATAAATGACACAGAACATAATTTTTCTTCACCCATGTCCTAATTTACTTATGCAGGAATATTGATCTTCTTCTTGTTTCCCTGTACCTGTGATGGTGTTGACGACTGTTCGCAGAATAGTAGGAGGCTTTATCAGCTCCTTAAGAATATTAGACTCTGTTGCCAATGGAAAGCCATTGTCCAGCATCTCCTCCAGCACCTCATAAACCACCACAACGTTGTCCTTGATTATTACCTCTGAACAGACACCAAAATAATCCTGTGCAAAAGAAAGAATTGTTCAGTGATCTCTGAAAGAGAATCCTAGTGATCATTCAGTCCAGTGCTCTCCCACACGGGAATAAATCAAGCCTCTTCTTGGAGGAGGCAAAAAAACCACTGAAACTCCCTGTATTACTACAAGCACACCACTCCCACAGACACACACAACTCTGAGCACACCTTGGCCACTGCTCCAGTAAGGTGGCAAATTCCCCTATCAGCTGTCCCAGCTAATTCAGCAGTTTTTAAAACTGAACATTTAATTTACTTACTGTCTTATTCTACATGAACTTCAAGCATCTTACAGGAGAGATCAAGTGCATGTGAACAAACACAAACCCGAGCTTCTAGTTATTTACAGCAATTAAAGAAATCTGGTATTTTGCATAAAGAATGAGTATATGTATGCTGTGACAGTAGAGAAATCCTAGTTCTGCGTTACAAACACTCTTTTTCAGCCACACAAGAATTTAATACACATCTAAGCCAGTGACTACACACTCATGCCTCATACCCTCATAAAAAACAAGACCTAAGGGTCTGACACGATCCACTGCTGGCCTGAACAGCCAACCCACTCCCTAAAGTCAGAGAAACACAACTCAGAATACAGGTTCTGACTGACATCTCGGAAGCAAAAGCTCCCATGACACATTTCCTGTATGCTGGCAAGATGCTGGTCACAAGACATTTCAAATCCAGACAACACAATCCTGTTGTTGGACAGACAGACATCTTTGCCGTTTTCCTGAACTGATCACAAGATGTGTCAACCTTAGCACAGAGGCAATACAGCTGCTCTGGGGCAACTCCTGCAATTCACTGCTTTAGGAAGCTTTGGAGAAGCATCACTAGATATAAACACACGGGTGGGTTGTCACTAATTGATTAAAGCACGTGGCTATGAACTGCAAAAGCTCCTTGTGAGGACAAGGCCAGCCTGGTCTTAGTTCACATTTCCCAGAGCAGATAAGGCTGCAAAATAGAAACGCTGATTTATGAAAGGTTCATCCTGTGGGCACAGGCAGATCCCGAATCCATCGTATAGACAGGAAATTCCCTACCACGGCAAGACCTGTCTACAAACGCAGGATGAAAATTACGCGACGGGAAACAAAAAATAAAGCCCTAGGAGGTGCAAACGAGAGGGGTTCTGTGGCTGAGGCCGTGCCGAGGCTCCCGCTCTCCAGCCTGGGGGTCCCAAGCCCCTCGGCCATACCTGGAACGTGTCCACGACGCGGTGCAGGAACTCGATGACGAAGAGCGGCGGCACCTCGCTCTGGATGACGGCCACGAAGAAGATCTTGTGGCGGTAGACGCTGAGGAGGTAGTGGTGCGGCGTGGGGATCACCGGCGGCACGTTCTCCGCCTCCGAGGCCCGCTCCTGCGCCTCAAAGAAATAGTCACACACGGAGCGGCTAACCACGCTCTTCCAGTGCTTCTCCAGGAAGATGTCCCCCGAGGCGTTGATCAGGAACAGACTGTGGATCATGGTTGCGGCCGTGCCGTGCCGAGCCGAGCCGTGCCCGGAGCGAAACCCCCGAGAGCGCTCCCCGCACAGGCCCCGCCCCCAGCAGCCCCCGGCTCCGCCCCTCGCGCGCGCAGCGCGGCCGCCGCCGGCACCGCCCCCGGCGCGCGGGCAGACACGCCCCCAGCGCTCGGGACGGGTCTCGGCAGCGAGCGGGCGCCGCGATTGGGCTCGCCCGCAGCGGCGAGCCGGCGCCCTCACGCTCCGCAACAATCCCGGCAGCGGCCGGGCGGGGATCTAGGCGGGTACGGCATCGCTCCCGGTAGAGCCCCACGCGTCTCTATCCGGCGAGCCGTTCCGTGTCCCGTTCCCCGCCCCGTTACACACCCGCCAAGGCAGGGAGCGACGCGGGGCGCCCCCGCTAGGCGGCGCCATGGCGAGCCGGGGACGGCCCACACGGAGCGCGCTGCGCGTTCCCCCGCGTTCGGCGGGGTGCGCTCGCTGTCCCGCCTGCTCCTCAGCGGCGTTTAGGGGTCCCTTTTCTAGGGGGGAACTGGACTATAGTCCGTGCAATGAGGAAATAACCCGGCTTTTGCAGGGAGGTACAGCTAGGGAAACGTTTTTCACTAGATTATTTTGTTGGTTCGTTCGCCACGGAGTAGCACCCCAGAAAACAGCCAGCTGGCGTGAAAACAATTGTCATGCCAAATTTACCCGAATTCTCTAGCAAATTATCCCTTGGCATAACTACAATTAGTGTTTCACGTTCATATAGCAGATCCCTGGACTTCTGAGTAAAACATGCCATGACAATTTTCCTACTACACTGCTGGGAACATACAAAAACAACAGAAAAGCAGTCCTTTGTATCCCATTAAATAAGCTGCCTGAGCACACAGCCTTTCTTACATGGGAGCCTCCTCTATATGGGAGCAAGGTTGCACCAGCACGGAGAGGCTGAGACCTGAGATTTCAGACCCAACTATGATTCAGGACTGTGGGCAAATCTTTTAAGTGCTGTTATACGCCTCGCCTCACGTCACCTCACGGCTCGGCCCGGCCCGGCCGCTTCGCTCCCTCGCGCCCGCTCCTCTCCGCTCCGAGCGCGGCCCCGCCTCCCCCGCCCTCGGTGGCGCGGCTGCGGCTCCGCCGCGCCCCCTGGCGGACGCGGGCCCAAGATGGCCGCCGTGTCAGTTTCGGGCTTCGCTGCCGTCCGGCCTTCACCTCCCGGGACCCGGCGCTCGCGGCCCTCGGTAAGTAACGCTGGCGGAGCCGCGCCGGCGCGGGTGGTTGATGCCGAGGAAGTCGGGGACAGGCGGCTGGCGAGCTCCGTGGCCTGGGGAAGGGGAAGGCCCAGTTGGGCGCTCCAGGCTCGCGGCCTGTTCCGGCCCCGCCGCCGCTCTGCGCCAGGCCCGGCCCCGCCGTCCGCTCCCGCGGCGCCCGCCAGGCCCACGCCTCGGGGAGGCGGCGGCCGCGGCACGGCGCGGGGGAGGCGGGGGGGAAGGAAGGGGGGCCGC